CCAAGAGAAACGTCCCAGACGCTGGAGTGGCTCTACAACTGGTGGATAAGAGACTTCGAAGGGAACAGTGTCAAAGATTGATTGCTGAAGTTTCCTCCAAGTCTCCTGCTAAAGATGGGGTCCCTGGAGAGGTGTTGGAGCCTTTGAGAAGTGAGGTAACCTGGTAGGAGCCCCCAGGTTTCTGGAGGCAGCCCTTCAAGAGCTTGGTGGGCCTTCAGCCTTTCTTCCTTTTGTTTCTCTGCTGAGACAAGGTTGCCATGGTCTATCCCATGATCCCACTGTGACAGGTTGTCTTGCCAGAGGTCAACAAAGTCCTACACTTGTCAAAACTATAAACTAAAAGAAACCTTTTCTCTTCATATGCTAGTTGTCCTTGGTGTGTTATTATAGTGATGGAAAGCTGACCAACACAGATTAAGAGGGCTGCTTCACTGTAACCAGAGCAATCTAGGAGAAAGAAACAGTTATAGATGTGTGTGTGTGCGCGCGCACGCACACATGCCTAACACCAGTTCCCAACTGGACAACGCACAATCCACAGGGGAAAAAAAAGACAGAGAATTCATGTTCTTCTCAAGCATACATTTACTGGGAAAGGTCATAAAACAAGCTCCAGCTGATGCTGGAGGTCTCTCTGCTTTAGTCACCAGGCAGACAGGCACTAGGCTGGTGGCAGTGAGGCTGATCCAAGAGGTAGAAAGCCCCCCACCCCAGGCAGAGGCAGGGAGACATCCTGGGTCCAGCAGCTACCTGGGGCTAGCCTTCAGGATTGCGGCAGGTTAACTCCAATGGGGGGGGCTGAGTGTGACTCAGAATGGCTTCAGGGAGGAGGTCCCTCATGGGCACTACAGACAAAGGGTGTGAAAAGTAAGGAGTGCCAGGTATCAAGGGAAGCAGTTTGGCCTTGGTCCTGATTTCTTGGGCATGCGTCCTGGGAGAGGCTGCATAGCAATTGGTTGATTGATTGGTTGATCATGACTTTTTGTTTTATTATTGTTTTTTTTGTTCTGTTTTTGTTTTGTTTTGTTTTGTTTTAGGGTTGTGCCAATTTCTCACTACAAGACGAAACACCTTAGAAAGTTAACTTCAAAGGAGGAGGAGTTGATCTTAGCTCAGGCCTTCACAGTCTTGCGGCCCCACTGCCTCAGGGAAAGCAGAACATGCAAGCAGCAGAGCACATTGGGACAGAGCTGGTGACCTGGAGACCGTGGATAACGGAACTGGGCATCTGGCTCTCAATGTGCTCTTCAAGAGCACTGCGCTCCACCCAGTGGCCTTCCTCTTGCTGGGTTCCACGGCCTGAAGATCCCACCACATGCCCATGACTCTGTCAGCTGGAAAACAAGTCTTTAGCCACGGCTCCTGGGCCTCTTGGACCCAAACCATTAGACCTCATAGCAAAATGGATGGCAGTCTGGTTAAGGCAGACCACGGAAGGAAGGCTTCTGCACTCGTCCAGGGAAGAGGGGCAGGGGACTAAACAGGTGTTTCACAAGTAAGACTCTAGTGTTAAGCTCTCTGAACACCAAATTTATGATCCTTCAAAATACCCCAAGATCTGAGAAGGGGCTGTTGAAGGTGCAAGAACTAACAACTCAAGACACCTGGGCGACTTCACTGGAGTGCTTAAAAAAATAAAATAAAATAAAATAAAAAGCCTGGTACCCTAGATTCTCAGAAATGGAAGCAAGAGCACTTCTTGCCAGCTTCGGCTACATGAGACCATCTTCTAAAAACATATCGTCCCCGAATTCTGGCTTGTTAATCTCGCCAACTACAGGATCTGGGGAAGGCCCAGTTCCCCAGCCTTGCCAATATCTCAGCCCCAAGCTGTAGTACCAAGGAGATGCATCCAGTCGGGAGCCTCAGGTAGAGTAATGGGAGTTGTAAAGAAACCACTATTGTGGTTCCAAATGCAGATGCAGTGAGAACACACGTATTTAGCTACAGATGTTTTATGTCACTTACGCAAGCAAGATACGTGCAGATGAGTGGCTCTGTGGTACAAAGAAGCCCTCCCTAGCCTGGTGCACTGTACTTGCCCACAGCGCAGTGTGCACAGCTCCTGGACAGGCCAAAGGAGGCTCCAAGTTGCAGGACTGAGAATCCCGCCCCTGGCAACTCAGGCTCCTGCACTAGAAGCGCCCACCCTATCTTGCTGGGGTTTCCTGGGCATTTGTGTTTTCGCACCAGGTTAGAATCAACAACTGCCTCGCTCTTGGAAACTTTGATGGTTTGATCAAAACCATCTCTGGGTGGATACCGAAGTGCGCCTCAGGAGGAAGGATTTGTCGTCCAAAGACACTTTGTAGATGGTAAGCTTCTAGGGGTGTATTTGCCCCAATAATCCACAGAAGCAACAGTAATCTAAAAATAGTCTTGTTTTCTGTCCTAAGCTCCTTTTAACTTTGTTAGTCATCGCCAACCCTTAAAATAAAACCCGTGTAACGTCTCTCCTGGTAGCAGCTATAAACAGACCTCCTCTAGAGGAGGCCGAAGGAAGAGGAAAAGAGGCGGTAGGGACGCGCAGGGAGCGCGGCCACAGGACGAGGCTTGAGCCCGAGGTGGCCGCAGGGCCTGGCGGACAGCGTGGAGCTGGCCAAGCTCCTGCGCCGCTGCCTCCGGAACTCCCTGCGCCTGGCGTGCGGCCACCGTGGCCTCGGCAACGGCATTAAACAGAGGGAAACAGGCCCGGGATTCCGTCACCCGCCGGGGATAAGGAGGGCATTGAGACAGACAGGAAAGGGCTTTTCTGGATGGGGTGAAAAGTTATTTATTGGAGAAAGAGGGGGAGGAGCAGACAGGAGGAAGAGGAGGAGCAGGAGGAAGAAGAGGGGGGAGGAAATGAAGGGTGAGGAGATATAGGGTGAGAGCAGAAAGGAGAGGAGATGAAGAGGAAAAGGGGAAGCAGGAAGAGGAAGGAGCGGAGATGAAAGACGATCCTGGAAGAGTCCTGGCCCCTTCCTCCAAGCTTTGCACAGTCAGTCACGTCCGGAAAGTCCCAGAGTATGGACAGGCCAGTGTGTCTGACGCGACGTGTCATCGGAACTCCTCTGGCCTCCGGAGTCCCCAAGTTCTCGGGTGGGCCTTAGTCTTCCCGCCACGCCCCGCGCTTGGATGATGCCTCCGCCCTGCCCCGCCTGGTCCGGGACGGGTGGGGAGCGGGGGGAGGGTGCGGAAACTCTCAGGGCAAAATATTGGCACCCTGTCTGGCGACACTAGGACTCACTAAAGAATGGATTTTTGGGAGGTGGGGTGGAGAAAAGGGTCTTGGGCAATGGGGTCTTGGCACCCCCTAGCGGCGGCCTCTTCTGAGTAGCGCAGGGAGGCTTCCGCGCATCCCAGCAGGTTTTGGGGGTTCTTGGCATCCTTGCCCTACATCCCAGCACCCAGCATTCTCACCGAGCTACCTCATAGCTGCTCTCCACATCGTCGCGGAGGCACCCTCAGCCTCGCTTCCCTCACTATCCTCTCGACCTATGCTAGTGGCCCCTTCCTGTCAAGGCCAGAGCAGCAGGCCAGCAGGTAGTACACCTGAGACTTGCTGGGCATCGATTGGGGCCATGCAGCCCCCACCGCTGTGCTTCTCCGCTGTGGTAGGAAAAAGGTGGCTCTGGGAACACTGGAAGGAGCGGGTAGATGCTTCTGGTGGAGTGAATGGGTTTTATACAAGCACTTTCATATTATTTAACATGGGGCCCAGTTGGCGAGCGCTACTTGCTTGTTGGAGCAGATTTCCCTAGGTTTGGGGGAATGTGAAGCCCTTTGGGCGTGTACTGGAGGGGCTCAGTACACGCCCCTCGCGCCCCACAGTCTCGCTACCCCACACCCAGACACGCTTTTATGCCTCGTGGTTTTATTTTAACGCTCATGAGGTGTGGGCCAATAGACGTATGATTTCTATATACCAGACGTTCTAACTGCCCAGCCCTCCAATGTCTTCCATCCAAAGCCAACAAGAAAATATGGTCGACTTTTGGCAGCAGAGCGGAGCCCTAGAAGATGCGAGGAGATTTGAAAGAGAAAAAGTGTGAAGCAAGGCGGGACAGAATCCGCAGAAGTTCCCAAGCACCAACCTCCTCCAAAGCCAGAAACTTCACTGTCACACTACAAAATCATCCTGTGGTCCCCTTTCAGGTCCGTGGGCGCCAGGGCAAAAACACGGAGAAAGAGCTGTGTAGGTGGGCGCTCTCTCCTAGACGCCCTGCCCCACCCCTTCTCATACAGTAAGAAATCTAGTTGCTCAGATATTTACAGAGTAAAAATGACAATATCTGGCTGTCCCGGGACGCCCATGCAATCTGTTAGTAATTTAGCGGGATGGGAATTTCCTTACTCCTGCCTGCCAGTGGAAGCGCTTTTCCAAATTTCCACAGCGGGGGAAGCCTGCGATTTTACATAATGACTTCAGCATGCAAGGCGTCTCGGCAACCCTCCCCCGCCGCTCGTACCCCCCAGCCCCTCATTAAAGGGGAGAGTAGCTCTCTCAGGATACCCGCTTGAAACTGCGGCCGTCCAGGCTTGGCGCGTTCACCTATCGCACCCTGGCAAGCCTTTTCCTTTCCATTTCGTCCTCGCCAGTCCCTAAGTCCCCACTCTCCCCAAGAGCCCTTTCTCTTTAAGTCTCCCCTCACCTCCCTTCGCGCCCCTATCTTTCCTCTTGAACACCTTTGCCCACCTCTGAGTGCCACTGCGCACCTCTGGGAGTCCCTTCCAGTCCCTTGAGTCCTCATTACCCCCTGCTGAGTCCTTTCCTTCTCTGCGTGACTGGTCGGTCCACCCCGGGGTACCCCTGTCTAAACCAGGGCGCCCCGCTTGCCCAGTGAACTGCAGCCGCTGCGCGCACAGAGGGCGGCGCTCCGCGACTTGTCCCCCGGGCCCCGCGCGGGCTCGGGAGGGCAGGGGCGTGATGTCACTGCAGGGAGGGGGCGCGGGAGCGGCCGGGCGGGCGGGAGCCGGGGGAGGTGTTTTCCAGCTTTAAAAAGGCAGAAGGCAGAGCCCGGCCCTGCGTCAGAGTGAGCCCGAGAGGCTCCTAACTGGGCGGCAGAGTCGCCGCGCGGATCCGAGCGGCTGGGAACCGGCTCCCGGGCGCGGCACACACCTCCGAACTCGCGGCGAGTCCCGGCCGCAGGCAGGTCTGCCACGCGTGCACACCTCCCGCATGCCACCTCCCCACGGCTCGCGGTGCTGAGCCCGGCCCCGCGCGTGTCGGCGAGGAAGAAGTCCGACTAGGGAGCCGGCCGGGGGCTGCTCGTCGCGCCAGCTCCCGCTCCTCCTCCTGCTGCTCGCCGCCACCGCCGCGTGGATGCCAAGTACCAGCTTTCCAGTCCCTTCCAAGTTTCCACTCGGCCCTCCGGCCGCAGTCTGCGGGAGCGGAGAAACTTTGCGGCCCGCGCCGCCCGCCGGAGGCACCATGAAGGCGGCCGAGGAAGGTAAGCTCCGCGCCCGGTCCTTCGTCCCCAGGTGCCCTGGCCCCCCATGCCTTCCCGCCGCACCCCTCGCCCATCTCTAGCCCTCCTAGACCAGGCTGCCGGGACCAGTCTGCGCGTCCAGGGAGGGGCGCGGGCGTCCGGCCGGACAGCGTGGCACACACTGTGAAGGGTGTCCCCCTGGTGTTTCCCCGGCGCAGCCCAGATTTCTAGCGCACTTTCTTGCCAATAGGTGTCTCCTCTTCTCTAGCGCCAAGTACTCAAACTTGGCTTTGCCTGGGGTCTCGGAGATCCCAGTTGGGGAAACGTGATTCACAGGGGTGAGATTTAAGGATGGGGCCAGGGGAGGACCGTCAGAACCTGGGTGGGGGAGGGTGAAGGCGTGAGGACACCCTAGGATGAAGTGAGGCTTCTTTGGAAAGCAGATAAGGCAAGATCGCCCATTAGGGTGAAGAGCGAATCCATGACATGAAGTTGGAGGGTCTTGCACACCCCCCCACCCAAGGGGTCCGATAGTAGGTGCTTCTCACGAAGTAAGGGCTTGGCCAACTGACCCCAAGTGGTCCAGGCTGCGAGATGCTTCTCAAGTTCTGCCTTAGAAAACGCCTTGGGAAAGACTGAAGAAGGACTGCCAGGTTTCGAGCTACTTCTTCCAGGTAAAGAATAGACGCTGGACTCTTCCCTGACTTGGTAGGATCAGAAGGATAGCATTCCCCAGACCCGCGGTCAGGACCCTTTGTGTTCTTTCACAGGAACCGGTAAAATAACGTTTAAAACATGTAGGCTCCTGCAGGTGTCTTTAGAACACCCTTTAAAGGATGGCTGGCTTTTCAGCTGGAGACTAAGATAACCTGACCTGTGTAGGATGGAACCTGGGAGTCATGCCTCCTAATTCCTTTTTTGGCTCCGAAGATGTTACTTAAATTAATGACCTCAAGATGGACCCCTGCTAGGGTTGGGGGCTCTCTTATTTACGAGAGCAGCCATCCTTTAGACAAGGATGGAAACTTTAGCTTTCTGTGAGACTCTGAGGAGTGTGTCAGGCAGGGGCAGTGGTCCCCAGAGTCAGCCCTGGACACCTTGCTTATCTTCAAACTCAAGCCCTAGAAGTTCAGCACAAATGGATCCAGATTTTCAGGGTCGGCTGTCCTGGGTAGAGAGTATCTGAGTCAAAGGGGGCAGGTATTGCTTGTACCACGCCATCGCCTTCAGTTTTGAAGAGGCCTAAATGTTGTCAAGGATGTGTTGGTAGTCACAGAAGGAGCTCTTGCGACCAGGAAAGTTAACACTGTTTTTGTTGTGGTTTGGATTGTGAATTTCTTGACATTTATTTCCACACACATTCATCACCTCTCTCTCTCCTCTCTCTCTCTCTCTCTCTCTCTCTCTCTCTCTCTCTCTCTCTCTCTGCACATAAAGCCTACATTTCTTTAACTGTAGGGTTACTATTTCATTACTCGATAAGAAATCTTTTCTTCTAAGCCGAGCTTGATGGCTGGCCCCCATAACCCTAGGTGTGATCTTAACACTTGAAAAACTAAAACAGGAGGATTGCCATGAGTTTTGAAGCTAGCCTGGGCAAGAAACCAAGTACCAGGCCAGTGTCGGACTACGGAATAAGACCCTGTGTCAACAAAACAAAACACACAAAAATGATTGGGTGTGTGTGTGTGTGTGTGTGTGCAAAAGGAAAAGTCATTATGTGTGTATGTGCGGGGTGGGAGAATGGTCATCTCTTGTGTAACCTGCCTAGAAAAGGAAGTTTGAAATGTCTTTGCTGAAGCAGTGGACTGGAGGTAATAATGTCCTCTGACCAAATCGTGTTGGTCAGAGATTGTGATCCAGTCCTGAGACAAGCAAACCCATACAGGGGAAGGGAACTATACGAAGCAGGTCGGTGTCCGCCATTGCTGAGGACCATGGAGAAACACTACCCTTGAGGAGGCCTTGACCTGGGTGCCAGCTGCTCTCTAAGGTCTTCCCATTTGGTGGGCATCTGGACGGAGGCTCATCAGGCCCAGCCATTTCTGAAGGCCTTGTTGCTCTGCTCTGAAAAATTCCAAGAAACACAAGCCTGTAGGTAGCCACAGCGTCAGAGTTGCCTCACACAACGCCCCACGGGCTCTCGGGAGCTGAACAAAGCTCGCCCTGTTCTTAGCCACTTAGTTTCATGGCATTGTTTCCTAATCCAGATTAGAAAATGCTGCGGCCTTGTACCCTGCTTCATCACTCCCAGCACTGGAGCCGGCCTATTAACATCTTACAGACTTGGGAGGAAGTAGTCCAAGTTAAACACTTCTATCAAAAGTGGAGTGTCTGCCGAACTGGCAAACCAGGCTTCATATCATGTAGAGGACAGGCAAGGGGGCTGGCAGAGGCGTGTGGGAGCATCTCATAAGTAGCTGTGTTGACTGAGTCCTGTGTTGGTGAGCAGACAAGGAGGGAGCCAGAACAGCTCCTGAGAGAAAGGCCCTGTGGCTTCCTTCCTATGGTCCCAGCATCTGGGGGATGCGGACAGCAGAAGCCAAGTGCTTTGCAACTTTAGCAAAAAGCTTTATTCAAAAATCGGACAAGAAGGGTTGTTATGTGTAATTGGGGGAAAGGTGGCTGAAGAGAGATCGAGGTTTCTCCACAGAAAACAGAACTTCCATTTCCCCGAAGGTCAGCAAAAAGCAAACTAAAACCAAACAAGGCTCCACCATGCATCTCAAAGTAAGAACTATTATTAGAAACTAAATCAGGCCAGACTGAACTATAGTTTATCACGGGAGAAAGCCAGCTATTGAAACAGGGTCTTGGGAGAAGTGGCAGCCCACGTGAGGCCCAAGTTAGCCTCCGGAAAAAGCCATCCCCCAGGGCCCAGGGCTGCAGGGCAGGAGGAGGACACAGGGGACACTTGCATCTGGTGGCAGATACTGACACCGACCTTCCTCCTCCTTTCCTTCCTGCCTCCCTCCCTCCCGGGTTCTGATACTGGCCTCTCCTGCACTGGCCACCATTTCCCTGATATTCCAGATGTTGGTTTATGTGGTGCCAAGACACCAGGAAAGTCAGAACAAAAAGCTGGGAGAAACAGGAAAAGATGGATGGGGGCCGCACAGGCCCAGCCTTTTCCTCCCGATTGCTGTGTTCACAGCACTGTTCGAGTGAGTAACACCCAGCACCCAGTCAGCCTCTGGGAGCTCTGAAGTCACCCCTATCAAAAACGGGAGTGTGTAGTGTTTGGGAGCCGAAAGACGGAGGTTATTAGTGCATGAACAGCATTTGCTTTGAGTGAGGTGGCCACCATGGGTAAGCTTGAATAGTTTGTGAGCAACTGTGTCAACCCTCAGGGACCCCCACCCACTTCTTCTTGTCGCTTTCAGACAATTGCTTTAGTAAAAGCAGGACTTTGTTACTTAGCTACTCCAGCGTTTACTGCTAGAGTTGTTCAGCTCTGAGGTGGGCTCTGGGATGCCTCCTTGAAGGTGGGGGTTCTCCCTCCAGTCATGTTGCTCAAGAAGCAACCTGGAGGAAGCCCTAGATAGATCAGCAGAGGTCATGCTTTGAAAGTTTGTTTATATATATATATATATATTCCCTGTTTTCGAACTTTTGAACTAATCCAGTAGCCTTGGTCTTTTTCCTGGTGCAGGGAAACAGCACGACCCAGGGCACCTCCTTCGGCTGTGGACTGCGCACCACGCTGAACAGGAACCGGGGACCGGCTGCGAGTCCCGGCGACGGGTCCAGGACGCAGCTCCAGCGCCGCCGGCCCTGCGCTTGGGTCTGGAACGACCGCGCACCCCTA